TATTCTCTCCCCCTCGGCCCTCACTCTTTAACATATATGCTGATTATCCCACAACTCCAAACATCTCAATTTCCGACTATGCAGATGATGAAGTAATTTTTCAATTCTTAACGACCCAATTATAGCTTCTATTAATATACGGTCTTATTTAAACCTACAATCCGAATGGTATAAAAAATGGTGTATAAAAGTAAATCACAACAAATCGGTTCATACAAATTTTACCGTTAGACACATTGAATGTCCAAATGTTTCAATTAATAACATACCTATCCCACCCCTAAATGCTGTTGAATATTTAGGTATAATTCTTGACCAAAAATTAACTTGAAACAAACATATAAAAGCTAAAAGATTGATCCTTAATGCTCGATCAAGATCGCTAAAAACACTATTATCAACAAATAAATGTACTAAATTAAAAACCAAACTACTTGTATAAATAACTCTCCTAAAGCCTATGAACATATGGATTACAACTCTGGGGATCGGCCAAAAAATCTAATTTAAACAAAATCCAAGTCTTTCAGAATATTACTCTTAGAAAAATCACTAACGCTCCCTTCTTTGTCTCTAATTTAACTCCCCACCAAGATCTAGGTATTCTGCCTGTTATAGCCTAAGTGAAACTTTTTTACAAACTTTTTTTTGATAATATGTTTGATCTATGTTTTTTTTTACCCTTATCCTATATGCTTATTGTACAAAATTGTATAGATTGTGTACGTGCGTTTGTGAAAAAAAAATTGTGATTAATTAACTCTTTTTGGGTATAATTCGCTCTGCATAGGTATGGTCGTATGGAAACAAAATTATATTATATTTAAATTTTAGCCATCCCGCGTGGCGTTGCTCGTGAATTTCGCTTATGGTTATGCGAACAGTATATTATCATTTATCAGGTAGGTTAGATTGCGGACACATTGAGGAGGGAGATAAAATATAGCCTAAATAGTACAGCTATGATTTAAAAAAAAAATTTGTATACAGTGTACCTAAAATAGTATTGAAGTTATAGTTGATCATCCCGGATTCTTAGGAGTATTTAATATTTATATATTTTGGGGGGTTTATTTATTTTTATGGACAAACCGGTGTAATTGTACCTAGCTTTGTGAAATAATTCGCATATTATATAGGTAACTTGCAAGTTGCAACCAAAGACGATCGTTAATAAAGAAAAAAAAAGTTTCGATTTCCACCTTGAATCTTAAGATCCCTGTTATACCACCTCTTTAAAAAGTGAATATCAGAAACTCCTTTCTTATTGCGTATCTAGTTCATTAGAGGGAACCACTAACTACCAAGTATTCCAAATAATATAAAATTATAATTGTAAATATTTATGATATTACGCGTGCCCGAACTGCTGGTAGTACGGACACGTTGCAAGGCGATGGAGAGATAACTATACATGCCAGGGGCGTACCCAGGAATTTTTAAAGGGGGGTCCAAATTTTTTTGACATTTAAAAAGTACCTATACAATAAGTGATTTGTGGTTTGTACCTTAAGAATTTTAAATTTTGTTAATTAATTGTTAATCCAGACCCGACCCCCCCCCCCTTGGGTACACCCCTGATACAGTGGCGTCATTACAGTCTTCGAGAGGGGGGGGGGGCAAAAGTTTTTACTGGCCCAAAATATAACTAAAAACCTGTTATCTGAGATCAGGCAAACATAACTCACTTTTTGAGGGATAACAATGACTAATAATACATATATAATAATATATGTAGGTACTATGTAGATTGTAGAGGGATACCTTTTATAACCTATTAGCTATTATATGATGACCTATTTTGAGAGGAATTTTACCCCAATTGATGTTATATTTACACCAAATATGAGTATAAATGTATTAAATTGTAAGAATAGAGTTTAGCCTTATATTGATATGTAAACTAAAAATTGTAACTAATAAATACACCATACACCTTCAAAACCACCTTGACCTAATAATGTCTGTCTGGTATGATAAATGGCGAGTTCAAGTCAATCAATCAAAATCCATTCATACTACATTCACTCTTCGTCTCCCTCCCTGCCCAGAAGTCTTTCTTAATAACATACCAATCCCATCATCCCAATCGGTTAAGTACTTAGGCCTAACCTTTGACCGTCGCCTGACCTGGGGACATCATATCAAAACTAAAAAACTCGCCCTAAACGAACGACTACGCTCAGTTAAACCACTAATATATAACAAGCACACTAAACTAAACACCAAACTTCTTATATATAAATCATTAAACAAGCCCATGTGGACTTATGGCCTACAACTATGAGGCAGTGCAAAAGTAGCTAATGTAAATAAAATCCAAACCGTTCAAAATAAAATTTTAAGATTAATCACTAATGCCCCACGCCCCCACCATATGTCTCCAACTACTCTCTGCACACAGATCTAAACATAAAAAGGTGGGTAAGTGGATGTCGCTCTGCTGTACTGTAGGTTACAAGTGGGTCACTGTATAATGGATGGTATTAAATTTGAATGCAATGATATAATATCATTGTATAAGAAAAACGATTCTGAGCGGAGACGGTATGTCAGTCTAGGTATAACTGTATAAGACATATTATATACTTTTCTATGGTATTAAATTATATGGAATTTATGAATAAATTCCTTAAAATATGCACAGTCTTATCATGAGCATAATTCTTATTCCTTATACTATGGTAGATTGTATGGATAGGCCACAATATTTTGATTTTTCAGTTTCATATATCCCCGAATAATATTTTTAAATAACAACAAAAACTAAGATCGTTAATATTGATTTTAATATGTAATTTCGTCCAAATTTGAATTTAAAATATCTGTAAAAAATAACTGTGTTCATATATTTTTTAGATTTTTTGGTTACAGTATGAACTATGTATGAGAGAACCTTTGTTTTAAATTTGCAATCTTTAGCTATAAAAACTCAACATTTTATAATTTATTAATTACAATGATTAATAATTTTCGAGATTTTGATAAATTTTGTCAAAATTCGATGTTTAAATGCTTATAAAAAAAAATTGTGCCTATGTATTTTTAATATTTTTCAAATGCTATTGTTACAATATATCAGGAGCTTTGTATTAAATTTTTACAGTTTTTGGCCCAACAGATAAAACTTTATTGATATTTATAGAAAATAAAACTAAAAAAAATTGAAAGCTGTAAATGTCCGTTAACAGCTCAAAAAGAGGCAAAATATTTTCAAAATTGTATGATGTATAGGAAATGCTAATATAAACATCCAGTGAAATTTTCATGTATCTACAGTTATTCGTTTTTGAATTACAACAAAATAAGGAAAACGCTACATGAGAAATCGAGTGAATATCCAATGTTGTAAAAATTTGAATTTCAAACGCTCATAAAAATTTAATTCGACTTTTTTATAGACATTTTTTTTTTTGATAAAGGTAGATAATCTCATAAGGAATCTTGTAATACATTTACAAATCTTAGATTTAAAATCAAAAATTTTTACGAATTGTTAACTCAAAATAATTTGCTAATTTCCGTGATTTTTCTATATTTTGTCAATTTTTGAACTTTAAATGCTTATAAAAAAAACTGTGACTAACGATTTTTAATATTTTTCATCTGCCTTTGAAACAATACACTAGGAGCCTTCTATTAAATTTTCAAGTTTTTTTAACCAACAAATAAAATTTTATTGATATTTCTAGAAAAAAAACTAAAAAAAATGAAAAATGAAAATGTCCCTAAACAGTTCAAAATAAATCAAAATATTTTGAAAATGTTATCGTGTATAGAAAATGCAAATATAAACAACCAGTGAAAATTTCATGTAACTACGGTTATTTGTTTTAAAGTTACACCAAAAACCAAATTCAATTTTCTGAAAAATCGATTTTGCGTAAAAATTCCCGTTTTTCCTTAATTTTTCTTTTGTTTTTCTTGGCGCTTTTGAAAAGTACTGGGAATTTTAAAATTTGACCTCCCCAATGCTGCACCAACGATATTCACTTTCCAATCGAACAAGATACTGAAGTCGAAAATCGAAGCATTATTTCCACTACTTATCGTGTACACTGACACAAAAAAAATAAAAAATAAAAAAAAAAAACACATATCATTGTAAAATCAATACATTCATCGTTCCACTCAGAATCTATAACAGTTCACGCTGAAGCAATAACATATTACAAAAGATTCCATAACAGACTTCCATATCATCCGCATCCCCTTATATCCAATTTAGCTTCTCGCACAATTCCAGGCAACCCCACACGACGACTAAAAAGAAATTGGTGTCGTGATTTACTAAATGAATAATCCAAATAATTAAAAAAAATATATATATAAATAAACAATTAGGTAGTTCCTTCACTGGTTGGCTTCTTCCCTCACGTTTTCATGTACAAAATATTATATCACATATTCAGATATTCTTATTGTGCCTAATGGTACAGATTGTATATTATATCTTGTTAAAAATAAAAAAAAAAAACTTATAAATACAATAATAATACCTACAACAATAATAATAATGGCAAGTCCAACCGTAACTCGTAAGGCATGAAGCGATTATAGATAATAAAAGGTTTAAACGGTTTTATAAGTTTTGTTATTAATTATGGAACGTACCTATAAACAATAAATTTATATTATATCATGGGAAGTAGGGGGTAGTAATATTCTATTTTTTGTGAAATTCGATGTTCCTTAGTGCTAAAAAGATGCCCAATAAGCTCCTGAACACTAAACTTTAAAAAAAATTGAAATCTGTCAATATCTTCAAGTCACGGATCGGAAAAAAACGTTTTAATGGGCGGGCGGGGAGTGGGGGTTCGTGAATTTTCGAACCCTTGCGTTTTAGTCAGGTAGAATTCGAAATTTCGAAACAAAGGGTAACAAAGGACTCACCACGAGGAGGTGGCTGCACTTCTTGAGTCCCGCTCACTCCTCCCCTTCCTCCCTACTAACGAGTCGCAATAGGCATATAACAATCGGCAAATCAATAAATTTTCACTTTACACAATGGATTTTTCTTCTATGGAAATCTTGTAATCTGCCTTAGTGCGAAGACTGGGCATGAGTTTCCCATGACTTATTTTACTCAGAACTAGGCCATCTCGTGCTTCAAATCCGCAAGCCATCTTAGAAGCTTTGCCAACTTCTTGAACAATACACTCAACGCTTTGTGTATGACATGGATAGTTTAAAATTGGCAATCGAGGTAGTTCATTCTGATTGAAATAATCCGCAAGTTTTGCAGTAGAAAAGTTGTTCATCACAGTCGGAGTAGTTAAATCGATTTCGTCTCAATTTATGAGTTCCGTGTGGTGCATTGCTTCAAAATGTATTTTTGGACCACGGAGTGGAAGAATGTTTCCTATTTTTTTGTGGGTCTCCCTGCTTAACAATGTTGGCACCCGGAAATCGATTTTGGATTTTACGGACGACGGTGGGGGGGGGGTTGTACAAATTTTGGAATTGTGGTTACAAATCTGTACAAATTGTGTAACAATTACTGATGTGGTTTTTGAGTTGAATTTCAAACTTGCGGATGCCCCAGCGTCACGCACCTCGGGAAGTGGTCCCAAGGACCAGCGGCGGAGGAAGTTTTTTTGCCTCGCGACCAGTCATCTTCTTATACCGCGGAGTTTATAGTTTATACCACGGACTAAGATATACAGGACTGGACACGAGATGAATATTGTGGTTACGAAATGTTTTACAACAGGCGGAGTTCGGGGGGATATTTTCCTTTTAGCATTACTAGCGCCGTCTTAGTGGATACTTTTGGAACTAGATGACAATAATGTGATCTAGTTCCATAAGTATCCACTAAGACGGCGCTAGTAATGCTAAAAGGAAAATATCCCCCCGAACACTGCCTGTTGTAAAACATTTCGTAGTCAACCCCCCCACACCCTCCAACCTTGTCATGTCCAGTCCTGTATATCTTAGTCCGTGATACAGACTATCATTATAATATAGTATAATCATGAACTACTACAGTAGTAGTTCATGAGTATAATCATAGATGATGACAGTCATAGACTAAAATACTAAATCATAGAACAATAAACCGGTTTAAAATTATCTAAAATTATATTGTTCTGTGAAATTATCCCACATCATCTTCATATTTAGTCCTTGGTCATATCCACGGACTAAGATAGAATGGACTGATATCGAATGTCTTATCAGTGTGACACAAATGTTTCTCTAGACAAGGTACCAGAGTTCACTACATTCAGCGCCATCTATGGAGAAATAATCGTAACAATTTTATTTCTATGAACTTAATCATTTTATTAAAACAACTTAACAACTAGTAAGTTAAAACTTAAAACTGAAAATTCTCTAAAAATCTAATATAAAAATATTACAAACCACAAATTGGCATCTTACAATTACAACTATACATTATTAAGTGTTTACTAGTTTTGAACATTTCTTTTTCTTTGCGTTGACTTTATTTTGATCTTTGTTTGAAATTAGTGAATACTGTCGCATTCTCACTGTTATATAATGAGTTATAATGTATGTAAGAACTTTATTCTTGTGATCTTTACATTGAAAATGTACTGGAGGGAACCACTATTTACTTTTCTATCGTATATTATTATCACTAGATAGCGTTGAACATGGTGTACTTGTGATAGATGTGCAGTGTAGCGGGGCAGAAACATTTGGGGATCAGACCCCACCACCTCGCCGTCCCTACCATTACCAGTCCATTTTATCTTAGTCCGTGGTCATATATCATATTATAGGTTCGATACACGGACTAAGATATACAGGACTGGAAACGATAGACTGGGGGGGGGGGTGGTATGGCTCTCAAATGTTTCGGTTTGGTACAATCGTGACTGTAACTGCTACCTGGTGTACTACACAACTACTAAATTGAAGCTATTAAAAGTACAAAACATTAATTCGTATTTTAAGAAACTACCTATTTAAAGACTAAAGTTTATAGTTTTAGTTTAAATTGTTTAAAATACATTTTAAAAATGCCTCGGCAATGTTCCGTGATTTTGTGTAAGAGTTTAAAAGAAAAACATGTAACATTGTTCAAAGTTCCTGCTACTGATTTCCATTCTTGGAATGAAATTATTGTCAGAATAAATGGGGCTTAAAATTTAAAAACACGTGGTGGTTTGACTCATCCAAATGATTTTTTATTTAGATTACTGATCACTGTTGAAAAATCATTTGTCAAGATTAGTATTGTGGAAACAATGATGTATTTTTAATGACAATTGATGACTTTTTTGGCAACAATCAAAGTATCAATTTTCCTTGTGTTGAACATCAAAAAGACGTACTTACACAAATTATTTCAAATTTTATAATCATGAGAATGCAACAGTATTCATTAATAACAAATAAAAATGCTAATAAACTTAATGCAAAAAAAAAAAGCTAGCTAAATTAGTAAATACATAGTAATAAATAATTATTAACTATGTTCTAATATTTGTATATAATATTTAAGATTATTATAAAATAATATATTAATATGTATTATTATTTTAAAATAATTTATGAGTTATTTTATACACAACCCTTTATTCGAGAATAAAATAATTAATTTAGTACTAAAATTAGTATACAGTACCTACTAAGTTTCTCTAAAATCACTATATTATCTTTTTCCTGGTTTATATTCATAAATCCAAGCCTTTATTAAGTCCACTAATTACTTTATTACAGTTTTTACTTTTTACTGTTCTTGAAGCTCCTTATTTTTGGGGTGAAATAAAACAAAAGTCTTACAAAATGTTATGAGCACAACAAACTAATCACCAAGGCTTTAAACTTAACTTACATGTTTCTATATTAATTTAACTTAACGAGTTAAAAAAAAGGTAGTTAACTTGCCCAGCCTTTCTATAAACTACCTATATTACCTAAGTTAAAATTATTGTTAACATTTTAAAGCATGAAAAAAATAATATAAAATGTTCAGTTATTATAAAGCAACTGATTGTTCTGTACATAGATAGCGCTAGGTACACACATTGTACCTTTTGGAAACATTCACGGACCACTGATAAGGTCTTCGTTTCCAGCACGGACTAAGATATACAGCACGAACCACGGACTAAGATATACAGGACTGGACATGACAAGGTTGGAGGGTGTGGGGGGGTTGACTACGAAATGTTTTACAACAGGCAGTGTTCGGGGGGATATTTTCCTTTTAGCATTACTAGCGCCGTCTTAGTGGATACTTATGGAACTAGATCACATTATTGTCATCTAGTTCCAAAAGTATCCACTAAGACGGCGCTAGTAATGCTAAAAGGAAAATATCCCCCCGAACTCCGCCTGTTGTAAAACATTTCGTAACCACAATATTCATCTCGTGTCCAGTCCTGTATATCTTAGTCCGTGGCACGAACTAAGATATCTTAGTTCATGATATACAGGACTGTACACGACATGGTTGGAGGGTGTGGGGGGTTGACTACGAAATGTAGTACAACAGGCGGTGTTCGGGGGGATATTTTCCTTTTAGCATTACTAGCGCTGTCTTAGTGGATATTTATGGAACTAGAAATTTGTATGATGTGTTCTAGTTCTATAAGTATCCACTAGGACGGCGATAGTAATGCTAAAAGGAAAATATCCCCCCGAACTCCGCCTGTTGTAATACATTTCGTAACCACAATATTCATCTCGTGTCCATCACTGGTCCTGTATATCTTAGTCCGTGGTTTCCAGTCCTGTATATCTTAGTCCACGGTCTTAGATTATTAGGTCTGGCAACTAATCCCCGAATATGAAGCTCTTATTGACGGGTCCCGCTCTGGTGGCGCCATCTACCGGCCAAGTACCAAAATATTATTATTTCTATGATTGTCGACTTAAAAAATTTAATTAAGAGGCCGTTCTGGTAGAAGTGAAACGAATGCAACGCTCAAGAGATGGCGTTGTGCGCCGTATCGCCGCCGTCGCGGTAGGCCGTAACCACGCCCATCGTGTACGCGACGGGGCCCGCTTGTTGTAATCGCGCGAGAGGTACATTATTATTTCACGGACGGTCGTACAGGACGTTTCGCGTCGCAGTTCCGTAAATGATCGCCGCCCCATGTATGTCTTATGTAGGTACTAGCATGCGGTACACAAGTCGCGACCTATTTTTTAATTAAAGTTCCTGTTTGCTTAAAAATATTAACCAATAAATAAAGCATACAAATTATTATACACCATAACTCGATTTATTTTTCTAACCCAATTACTTTTTTATATACATAAAAATAATAGTTTCATTACGATTAAATGGATTTTGTAGTACCTAAATATGTCGCGTATTTTACGTTGTAACTTATTGGTGACCTGGAGTACTTTTCGTACGATTGTTTGATCTCCTATAATTATTATATACGACATACGTATTAGTACAATACTACAATGTTATAGTTATAAAATATATTGATGTAATTAGGTACCTATATTTAATTAAAACATAATTTAGGAAGTTGATTGTTATTTGCTGTACATATTATAATATCTTTTAAATAAAGACTATAGGTAATTATTCACATTATTTAATTATTGTTGCAATTTGCAATGCAGTATGTATACTGTATAGTATGTACCTATGTACAAAAAACCGACAGTATACACTTAAAATGTTCATCGTTTATAATATAATATATAATATTATAATCTATATAAATTAAAATTAAATTATGTAAGTACCTACACATGTGCAGAACACTTTTGATTGAGCTATTATATAGCTAATTAAAATACACCATTTAGATTAATTACAATTTATTATAATTAATAACTTAAATTGATGCTAGTATTCATAGAAAATGCGGATAACCAATGTATAATAATATAATGTATAGGTATGCTTTTATTTAATGAAATGTCATATTATCTACATATTATTATCAATGTAAAAAATGCATAAGTAGTTACGTGTATAAAAATGAAAGAAAATATAATATATAACATTATACAATTATTTTACGTATTTATTTTGAGTTGTTATTATACAATTAATAAAAATCATCTGTAACAATTATTTAAAGTCTCATACACAATTAATTTGTATACAAATATAATAAATAAAAATATTAATTAATATAGGTACATTTGATACAAATATATTGTTATTAGGTACTCAATTTCAAATAAAAAATACAAGTATTTTTTTATTTTGATAGTTTTAAACCATAGCATTTAGATTTGGGTAAATATTTAATTTATTTCTATGACGCTGAAAGTTTTTCATTTCCAAGGAGTCTTCATCAAACTCTCGATCATTAGGATGGTTGTATTTATGAGATCGAAGTATTAAGTTATGGGTGATACTTGAAAAAAATCCCGCTAGAAGCTTTGTACTCCACCCAAAGGTTTGATATAAAAAAGTAATATTAATACCTGTGTCAACAAGTGTTAATATTAATTTTGCAACAAAGAATATACCCATTAGCCCAGACACAAAAGTTCCAATTGTCGTAAACCAACCCCATAATTTAAATAGCTTATCTTCTACCATTTTTCCAAGCGTGTTTTCGTCTATCAAATATTTAAATTGCAGACCTTGATTAGTCGTATCATATCCCATAGATTGTCTGATTAAATTATTTGTGGCAGCTTTCACTTCTTGCGGGAACAATATATGCTGTTGAAAAGCTTTCATTGTGTCCTTTGTATATATACCGGCATTCATAAGAAAATCCGGACTTTTGTACGACCATGTCCAGGACGTGGCTGGTTTAAGCTTTTGTGGTTTCTTAATTTCTTGTATGTTTGGTAGAATGGCAAACCAATCACCGCCCAATTCGAATGCAGGTGGTAGAAGTATATTGCAGTCCACCTGTGTTCCAAATTGTTGTAAAATATGTGTTTTGGGTGCCATAAATAATGTTTTGTTATTGTATAACACTGGTAGTTCATTAAAACAATTTTTTTTTTGTGATATTTCAACGTTAACTTTTTTGCACTTTATTAAATAAATTATTTCACTGACTTTTATTGCCGTGAACCCTGGTCCACCGCCCATTAAATACGCAAACTCCGAAAGACTAGAAGACGCTAATGTGAGTCGTTGCTCTAGTAATTTTCTCTCTAGCTCACATTGTTTTAGTATTAAATCATTGTACAACGATGTAATCGTTGATTTAAAGAAATTTTCGACATAGACAAATTTAGTGTTTATGTAGGCTAATAAATCAGTGTTTTGAGCTGTTATAGTTTTTCGTGTAAAATAATTAAAAAATGTAGGTTCTGTTAAAATTAATAACTGCATATGTTCAGTCTGAATAACTGGGATTCCTGTGCAGGCGAAGGTTTTTTTTAACTTTTTTTAAAGCAAAGACTATTTTGTCAGTCTCCACAATATAAGTGTACGAGTAAGTATTTGAAATGTCATCAATAGTATTTGACGTAATTAATGACGCTGGCCCATCATATAGGACACTGAAATCGTGTTCTTCACAGTTTATGTTACTGATTGACCAGATGGTTTCACCTTTAAAAGCATCAATGCCGTAATTGTCTGATAATTTGAGTTTTGTACCTGTTGGAAGTATAAGGACGTTATCTTTAGTGTTCGCTGTAGCCATACCTTCCGATAGCAATATTTTAAATTTTGCTTGGACAACGACGTTTTCCCATTCCCCTTTATTTGATTTAAAAATTGCGCCCTTACAATTGCCATGCTTATCTAGTGACCCTACCATTGTATTTGAAACATATGTTGTTTCGTTTATTTTTAAGTCTGTCACTACACCTCCTAGTGGAAAATTATAGGATTGTTTTTGATGGACCTCCGAACATCGAGCACTCCCTAGTTCGATAATGTCAGAAAAGTATCCACCATCCACCACTTGCGCATCTTCAAACGCTGAGCATCTTGTTATAAGATAATCCACAGATATTAAACATGATTTATACATAACTGGATATGTTTCAATGTGTTGCAATAATTGTATTCGTTGTATCTGTTGCGTTTCTGTTGGTGTTGGAATATCACATTTTTCTACTTCTAAGCTGTCAAATGAAGTGATATTTAGATTCGACCCTCCACAATCGTACGCAATAAATCCGAGAGTGACATTTATGATGTAAGAAATGACTATAAATAGTACTTGGATGAAATACATATTGACTGATTACCTAAAATAACCACAAAATATGAATATTATACACAATTTTAATTTCGATATTTAAGGTTTAAATTACAGAGAGTACATTGTATAAACAATTAGTGAAAATTTCATATATCTACGATGATTTGTTTTAGAGCCACATAAAAAACCTAAATTGATTTTGTTGAAAACACATCATTATAAGATCAATACTCAGAATCTAAAATTACGAATGAGTTAGGTACTACAATTAAAAATAATTTCAAAAACCATTTAATTATTGTATTATAATATTAGTATAAATATATAACTTACCTGATTTTTAGAGTTTCCGTTTGTTTATATTAATTACGACGTGTATTCAACTTGGTTTGTTCTCGAACTGTGAAAGAACACTAACGACACTATGAACTGCTGCACTAATATTGAGATGATCACCACCCCTCAACAGAATCATATATGATATTTTAAATCTAAAATATTACCTCATCTTATATATATATTATAATGTTATAATTTCATCATGCAATGTTGTTAACGACGTCGCATCAATATTGCTTATGATAATTGTTTTAATAGTATGATTTTATTTAATGAAATGTCATGATAATATTATGTACATAGTATTATAGTAATATCATGGATTAGAAGGTAGGTATATTATATACAATTTAAATTTTAAATAACCATAGATATTTATAATTGCGTACCTATGATTGCGTATAATTGCGGGTAAAGACTGTAAAGTAATAAAAATAATCGAAACGATAGACTACTATATAGACTAGGTATACTCTTATTATTTTAGACTATATTAAAAATTCAAATAATAAATATCTTATGTGTAGTGTGTACAAATGTCTTTTTAGTTAGTATCTATGTGCCCGTAATCGAGACATATAAGTCACTGTTTTACTATAAATTATTATCATTTCGTCATAATTTAAATTCAAAATTTATCACTAAACGTTTGTTTTATTACGTACTCGTCGTATTTTTTACCGTAAAATGGATCCATCAAAAAATAAAAAGCGCGGATATACATCAAAGAAGCTATCAAACAAAAAAAATTTGAGTTCTCGAATGAAAGCGCTCTTTGGAATTCGGAACGAAAACAAGTATTTAAAATTTAAACGAAAAATAAATAGTTTTAATAATAAAATAATTAAAAAAATTAATTAAAAAATTAAAAAATTATGGAACAAAATTAAGAGCTATGACGTTAAATAATAAGTACCCGACTTCGATAAGAAATCACTTAAAATCAAATATGAAACGCTTTGGGGCTGCAATAACTAAGGCAATTGAATATCGCAGTGGTTTACCAGGCCTAACAGATTACCAAAAGGCAGTAGGCAAGTTGATTATAAAAATTATATTTTTGGTAACATTATAAATGAACACTATTATCGTATTATAACATTATAATATGTATATATTATTTAAGGACTACGGCAAGACATAAATAACAGTTTTCGACACATTATGGGTGCCCATGATCGATGTGAGGAATACTATTGTAAAAAACCGCGACCAATTAATGAAAAAAATTTGATCGAAGACACCGAGACTTCAGGGATTGTGAGCGATATATCCCAAATAGTATCTCGTTTAGTCGCAAATGTTGATAGTTTACTGATGAATGTTGACAACAACGTGTGTGAACAATTCAACAGTGTAATTAATAAACATTTAGCGGGTAAACGAATAAATTATTCACAAAGAAATTCGTACAATGCTCGAGTCGAAGCAGCGGTTATATCATGCAACTCAGGTGGACAATTTCTTCGGTTGATGCATAAAAATATAGTCAATGATATAAGTCCAGGTGAATACTATGTACATTTATTATTATTCTAAACAATTTTCATGCACCTACCTACCAAATAAAATGACAATGATATTATTAATTACACTAATTATTAGGTATAGGTATAATATATTATTGTTGTAATTGTATTTATAGCAAACATAATATACAGGAAATTTACATTGTTTTTTTAATAGGAGAAATCGGAAAAAAATTCCTTACATCTAGCAAAAAAAAAAGATCCCAGCCAAAATCTAAAAAACATCTTTTCTCGGGAAATTCAGAAAGAAGGTGTAATAGTGGCCCGGATCAACATTATGGTTTAGCTGAACCATTACCGGAAGACAATATTTCAATAGAAGTATTAGAAAAAACAAAAGACGATTTTTTAAAAACACTACAGTTGGACAGACGTGAACGGTTAGCCATTGAAGAACAAACAAGGGAACAGGCCAATTCTCAAATTTGGCATGTTGAACGTAGAAATCGGCTCACAGCGTCAAATTTTGGCTGCGTTTGTAAACTTCGAAAAACTACGTCGTGCAAAAATACTGTTTATAGTATACTATATAGGACATTTTCTTCGAAAGCAACAGATTATGGTAAAGCCACAGAATCACAAGCTATCGTCGCGTTGGAAAAAAAATTTAATTGCACAGTGAATAAATGTGGACTTCTTATTGATGAACATTTTCCTTATTTAGCAGCTTCTCCTGGTAAAATATATTTTAGTACTTAATTATAAATATTAATTGAATCAATACAACTAAATTAGTTATTTTATAATTTATAGACGGTCTTGTCAATAATGATTTTATAGTTGAAATTAAATGTCCATATGCAGTAAAAGACACTAAGACATTTTTAGAAGCTATAAATAGTAAAAAAGTAAGAGTATTATTATTTATTATATTGTGTAAAACGATTCTCCTAAAATATTTCAATCGATATACTTTAAGATTTTCAAGGACCAACGAGCGAAGAATAATATTTTTAAATTTAAAAAAAATTAATTAAAATCATTATTCTCCGTTTCATTATCTAATTTCGTCCAAATTTTAACTTAAAATATCTATTTAAAAAAAAATATTTTTACTTTATACAATTTTGAAATTTTTTGGTTACAGTTTAAACTAATTATGAGAAACGTGTTTAAAATTATCACTACTTAGCTACCTATAACAGAACATTTTATAAGTTTTTAACTACAAAACATTTTACAAACAATCGATATTTTGACGAAAGTTGTCAAAATTCTTACTTCCGACGCTCATAAAATATTATTGTGAATTAACTCTCAAATTTTTAAATTACACTAATAACATCTTATAAGTAACGTTGTGAGTAACCTTGCACAAAGACACAAAAAATAAAAAAATAAAAAATATACTTCATTGCAAATCAATACATTAATTGCTAGCTCTAACTTTCTAAGTGTAAAATGTAAAATATTTTTATTATAATATTTAATTTCAGTTATCTTTCTGTCGTCTCAGTGAAGACGGGAGAATGGAATTAAAAGTGGACCATAGTTACTATTACCAAGTTCAGGGACAAATGCATATTTCAAAACGAAATTCCTGTTATTTCGTTGTTTATTCGGCCAATTGGATAGAGATACAAATTATTAGTTACGATGACTCTTTCTGGCGCGAAAAAATGATTGAGAAGTTAAAAGTGTAATATTGAACATGATTTTTTAATTTACATTTTAAAGTACCTAATTGGATTTTTACGTAATTACATAAGCATAATATCAAATTTTATTTTCAGTTTTTATACAGAATGCTTACTTCCAGAAATAGTCAATCCCCAGTACGGAAAGAGGCTGTTGGTAGATGACATTTTAGATCCTCAACATATTTTGGAAAATATAAAAACAAAAACGGCAAAAAAAAAATAGTGTACCGCGATTAATATTCATGTAATATTCATGTACAATAATTATTACTTTATACCAGGGATGGCAAATCCATGGCACGCGAAAAGATTTTGTGGGCACGCGAAAATTTTTACTATTATATAATATACAATATAGATTATAGGACATAGGTAATAGGTAATTTAATATTTTAATGCTATATACTATTATCATGTTAAAATATTATGTTTTTTACATATTATATACCTAGAATTTTATTATTTTTTACAAATTGATGATTTATCATGACGTGCTTCTCATTCTATTATCAAATGTGCTTATTGTATGAATAGATTGTAAATATGATTTTTTTTTTTTAAATTGTGAATGTTTGATGTATTGAATGTATTTCAATGTCATTTTTAATTTGTTTTATCATATTTTGAATTGGGTTCAACCCGTTTATATATTAATATATTATAAATAAATAAATAAATAAATGAATGAATAAATAAATAAATAATCTGTAATATAGGAATGTACCTACTATTATAACTAATTAAAAATAAATACAGTTCGTATTTGACTGCTTTATATAAACAATTGTGTTTCAGTTCATATAATTAGGGGTTTATTGTTTTAATTATTATAAGTCGAATTATGTTGTACCTAGGTACATTGATTACACTGGTCACTTTATTCAACAGATTTCCATGTATTCATAATATGTATCTAAGGTTTTTTTTTGTTATTCTGAATTAAATTTCATATTTTGTTAGTCAACGTTAAAAAAATAATTTTCTCGTTGAATTCTCTACAAGATTAAAAAAATAATTATTTAAATTGTAATTTTGTTAAACGATTTATAACAATTTTAGGATGTGAGATTTTTAGTTTGTGTAAAACACGGCGAGCAGAATAATAATAATAATATACGAAGTATAAAATTCGATATGGGTATTATGAAAACAGTTCTGTCACCAACATAATTGTTTTCTTACCGATTATTTATAAACGGCAAGCGGCCCGGTCGCGATAAGAAATCTGGTTTTGAACTATGGTGCGGTATGGCTACAATCGAGCGCGGGGTAGTGGTAGGAACACTATTTTTGAACGCTGCCGCTAGTGTCAGTAGAGCAGCACATGACGGCTGTAAAATCGTGTTTTTCTTACCGAAAACATGGTTTCGTACTTCCAATTTTCCTCAGCTCTCGTTAGTCGTAGAAACATGATTTTTTCACCAAAATAAACGTGAGAAGTTTATCTAGGTTTTGTCGTTCCAGATTTTTGATATCTTTTTTTGTCTATTTTATATGATTTTTTAAAAATTTTGAAAATTTTGAAAATTTCAAATGCAAATATAATCGGTTTGAAAAAAAAATTCGAAAATCTGGAACGACAAAACCTAGATCAACTTCTCACGTTTATTTTGGTGAAAAAATTATGTTTCTACGACTAACGAGAGCTGAGGAAAATGAGAAGTACGAAACCATGTTTTTACGGCCGAATTTTCGTACCAGAACGGCCTCTTAAGATTCTGGGCTTAACGATCCATTGAATATTATCGGCATTATTTTGCTCATAGTAAAAGTCTATGAGCCTATGACTGTAAAAATGTAAAATACCGCCAAAATATACAGACCCATGTTATTGGCACATTGTCCTTATAAAGGTCTACAAGTAGTGACTACTTAAGTACCAAAGTACTAACTACTTTAGAAAAATGACACGTAAATGTTCATGTAATTGTACCACCACCGGAGTACCTACATTTCGTGTAACACAAGATCGGTTGGAAAGTTGGGGAGTAGTTATTGGTAAAGCTTTAAAAATTGGGGATAGATTATGCAAGTCACATTTTTCAGAAGAATCTATTAAAACAGTAGATATATGGATATAAAATCTAATAGAACAGCAAAAGTAAGCAAAAATGAACATAATATATTATACCAGTAGTTATATAACAATTTAACAATATTCAACATAACATTTTTAGAAGTTTTTTTTTAATCGTTCTTAAACAAAACATCGACGATAATGGCCATTAGTTGTTGATGTTATAATAATTACAATTATTTTTTTTAATGTATATTCTTAATTATATTAATTAAATTAAATCAAACAATTCAGATTTTCTTAAAAAAGTTAAAATTGGGTACCTAGGTAGTGTCTGCATTCGGTCTATTAAAATACAAATTACTACTAGAGCGCGCCACCAGAGCGGGACCCGACAATAAGAGCAGTAGCACTACTGATTTGTGTTAATTGGTTGGGGAGTTGCATGGGCATGTCCGTGGTTCGATAATCGATATCTATACCTGTTTATCTTGTGGCCGTGGTATTATATTTTTGGTATAACCTGGTAACAGAATATCATATGATTATTATCATTTGAACTTGGTTTGATTTTTATCAAACTATTTTATTTCTACATAATTTTCTATATTACAGATTTATTATAATAGTCGGTACACATATTATTACTTATTAGTGTAAAAGTGCATTTTCATTTATGTAAAGTGGACTTGAACCCTAATTTAAATTTTTAAAAATAACTGTTTATTACACACAATTTATTAACATGTTTCGGACAACGCTTCAGCGTACTGTGCCTTGTATTCGTTTGGTGGTTACTCCTGGGCAATTTCGACTAAATTCTAATGCTCCGGCTCCGCCATCCAAGCTTGAAGTCTTCATTGATGATAAAAAAGTCCTCGTAGATCCCGGAACCACAGTATTACAGGTAAAAATTATTTAATAAATTATTGAAATAATGAAGTGATTTAACAAAGTTTGGGTATTTAGGCTGCTGCCCTTGCTGGTGTAGAAATTCCACGTTTCTGTTATCATGAACGTTTAGCTGTAGCCGGAAACTGTAGGATGTGTTTAGTCGAAGTTGAGAGGTCACCTAAGGTATGTTCAACTATTACTTATATATTTAAATAAATTATAATTTATCTTGTAATCATTTAATTTAGCCAGTTGCTGCATGTGCCATGCCAGTGATGAATGGATGGAAAATTAAAACAAACTCTGAATTAACTCGCAAAGCTCGTGAAGGTGTTATGGAATTTTTATTGATGAACCATCCCCTTGATTGTCCAATTTGTGATCAAGGAGGTGAATGCGATTTACAAGATCAGAGTATGGCATTTGGCAGTGATAGATCTCGTTTTGTTGATATAGATTTTAGTGGCAAAAGGTATTTTATTGTCTTAAACTATTAAATATATATTAATTGCTAATAATTGGCAGGGCTGTTGAAGATAAAGATATTGGGCCACTTGTTAAAACTATAATGACACGTTGTATACACTGTACAAGATGTATACGCTTTGCTTCAGAAGTAGCTGGGGTTGATGATCTAGGAACTACTGGTCGAGGTTCTGATATGCAGGTATTCTATCTTCAGATACCCATTCAGATATATATTATTACTTATATGTTACGTAAATTAGATTCAATTTTTAAATGATTTGTTTATTTGTTTTTACTATTAAGGTTGGAACCTATATAGAGAAAATGTTCTTGTCCGAACTCAGTGGCAATGTAATAGATTTGTGTCCGGTAGGAGCATTAACCAGTAAACCATACTCATTCTCTGCACGGCCTTGGGAGACTAGAAAAACTGATAGTGTAGACGTTTTGGATGCATTAGGAAGCAATATTGTTGTTTCAACTAGAGCTGGTGATGTTATGAGAATTTTGCCACGGTTAAATGAAGTAATTTAAAACGACACCAGAGTTATTTTCATTTACTAATAAAATTTTGTAACTTCAGGATATCAATGAAGAATGGTTATCAGATAAATCACGTTTCTCGTATGATGGACTTAAACGCCAACGATTGATCACTCCATTAGTTAAGGACAATAAAGGAAATTTAGTACCAGTTGAATGGGAAGATGCATTAGTAGCGACATCAAGAGCATTAATCAATGCAAATGGAAATGTAATAGTAAATTAGTGTTAGTTGTTCACTTGATTTATTCTTGTTATTTTAGATTGTGGGTGTGAGTGGTGGCTTATCAGATGCTGAATCTATGATAGCATTGAAAGATTTGCTCAACAGATTAGGAAGTGAACAATTATACACAGAAGAACCATTCCCAATGACTGGTTCTGGTACTGACTTCAGATCTTCTTACATATTAAATAGCAGCATTTCCGGTATGTATGATTTTTTCAGTTAATTTTAAAGACTAAATTTTATTTTATTTTTAGGATTGGAACAAGCAGACCTGGTGTTATTAATTGGAACCAACCCACGATATGAAGCTCCTTTGTTAAACACACGTATTCGTAAATCGTATGTACATAATGACCTAGAAATAGCATTATTAGGACCTAAAGTTGACCTATCTTATGATTACGAAGTAAGTTTGTTTTTAATATTATATTATAGGTATTTATTAATTATCTAATTCTTTGATTAGTATTTGGGCGAATCCCCTGCAATACTCAAGGATTTAGCAGAAAAAAGACATGCATTCTATGCTAAACTGTCTAAAGCTAAGCGACCAGTCATCATTTTAGGAGCTCAGCAATTTGAAAGGGAAGATGGTGCTATACTTTTGGCTCAGGCACAGCAACTTTCTCAAGAATTAAATAAAAATGTAATTTTTATATTCAATATTTTGTAATTAATACTAACAAACAATAATTGTTAGGCTGAAAAAGGATGGAAAATTCTTAATGTATTGCAACAAGTTGCTGGACAAGTAGCTGCATTAGACTTGGGTTTTAAGCCTTATCATAATCTACCTGCAGCCAAAGTACTTTATTTATTAGGAGCTGACAATGAATCATTAACAAAGTGCAAGCCAGCTGGAACCACTGTTATATATCAAGGTAAACATCATTTTAATTTACTAGCATTATTACTTTTGATATCTTGTATGTATGTGCAAAACTTTGTAAATAGCCATTCCATCATTATGGGATAAAATAAAACTAATCAAAGTAAACACATAATATCTATCACTAAATACTTAGCTAAATAATATTATTAGTTAAAATTACAAAAACACATAATTATTTTGATTAGATTTTTAGTACTTAGAACTTATAATGGATAAATTAAATTACCAAATATATTTACATAATTTATATAGCTAGGGTAGCAAAACATTTAATCATGATTAAATTTTGATCGGATGACATCTCGAGTATAATTTGTATTTTCATTATAAATTATTGTATTGTTTGTAATATGATACACAATATTATACAAAGTAGTTGTTGGTGTAATTATTATTGTTACAAGAGATTACCATCTGTTGATTATTTTTTATTTTAATTGATAAGATCATGTTGACCTATTTTATAAGTATTTACTCAAAGGAACAATCTTGGCAAGTTTTGCAAACATGATACATACATTTTAAAGAAAAATATTATTTCTTTTATTATACCTAATGGCTAATAAGTTATTATTTGTTTGAAAAAATTTTAAATTCAGTTATTTGCTTCTCATGTAGGACATCATGGAGATGCTGGAGCAGCTATTGCCGATATTGTTCTTCCAGGAGCTGCGTATACAGAAAAACAAGCAACCTATGTAAATACTGAAGGTCGTGCACAACAAACGTTGATGGCTGTACAACCACCAGGAATGGCACGCTCAGACTGGAAAATTATCAGAGCAATTTCTGAAGTAAGATTTTATTATATTCAATAATATATTTTAATTTATGTATTTAATTTTTTTGTTCTGATCATTAGTTTGTGGGAGTAAAACTTCCCTACGACACTTTAAATGAGGTGCGTGACCGTTTAACTGATGTTTGTCCAAGCATGACTAGATATGGAGACCTAGAATCAGCAAATTATTTGGTTCAAGCTTCAGATTTGGCTAAAGTAATTTAATCAATAGTGTATCTTTGTAAATATTTTATTAAATTCATGTTTTTTGTTGTAGGATTTATCTTCCCAGACGGCCAGTACACCTTTAAATGTTAAACAGATTACTTTAGAAGACTTCTATATGACCGATTCCATTAGTAGATCTTCTCCAACTATGGCTAAATGTATACAGGCTGTTAGAAAACAGAAAGAATCAAAATATTATGAAAGCCGAGCTTAAATGAAAAATAATATTGGGCTTGTATGAATAAGTTCCAAGTCCTTTATGTAAGCAAATTAAGGTAATAATTTTAGAATTTAGAACGTTATAAATTTTGATTTTTTAGCCGTGCAAAATATGTTGATAAAACAAATTATAACAAATATTATTTTCTTTATCATCTGAACTTTCTTTGTATTTGTGTTAATAAAGTATTTTAAATTTCAAACATAATGTTATAATAATTATTAATTAATGTTTACAATAAATTTATCTAATAATAATATAAATATGTTTTGATTATAGTAAATTCACAACAAGATTTAATTGAATAATACTGTTATACATAAAATAACGTTTTTTCTATGAATATTCAATATTTGTTATATGTTTAAATATCTCTCCAAGCCATAACAATCTTTTGAAATGGAACAAACTGTCCGTTATTGATTCCACTGAAAACATTAAAATATATCAAATCACTAACTAAAATAAAACGGTATATATTTAAACTTTGGTTAAACTTACCACTCAAAATATCTAATTCCATTTAAAGATCCATCACAGTCACCAATCTTTTGATCAAATTGTACTCCTACTAGTGGCTCTGTCATAGTCGCTACATGACCTATATATCGCAGTCGCCCACCAACTACTTTACCAAAGCTTGTAATAACTTTGACATAGGCGTTCAATTGAAGATCGTATATGGACTTTGGCAAATATGGCTTGCCATGCACTTTCATTGAACAACACTCTAAAATTATACATGTTTACTTTTCTCACTAATTTAGTATAAGTTAAATATATTTTGTTTTAAATATTAAGTACTGGTTTTAGTAATTGTTCAGTATGTGATCTACTCGAATTGAATATTTATAATTAATGCCATAGAATTTAACTATTAACACTTCATTTATTTTGTTACACATGTTGAACTAATGACTTTACATTTACTAATAATTAATAAATGTCGATAATGAACATAATAATATTGTTATCACAGACTAGCTATATGACAATATACTTTTTTTTTACTAAATACAACCAATGGCAGTATTTGCCATTGGAATTCTAGTTATATTACAGAATTCTATTACTTCTTAATATTTGTATAGTTATTTACATTATTAAATTATAGTTTACATTAATTGATAATAACTATAATTATTACTATTATTTTATAAATAGATAAATTGTTATTTATAAGACAACACCTACTAAATTTATTTTGAAAATTTCCCTTTTTTTTTTTTATTCTAAATTATACTATAGTCTTATTATAGTCTTTGATATTACTGGCAAACTGAATAAGGTAGGATGGCAGTTATCTGTAGGTAAAAACCAGTAATTATGTAATAAAATTATAAAAATAAGCAAGTGTATACATGTCCATACATAATATAATGTCACTATGTATAAATTTCATTTTGGTAGATCACATTTTAAACCCGATAATACAGGTAGATCACATAATGAACGAATGCCATATTTTTTATTAATGTGTAGTTTTTTTATTGTTAATTATTCATAGAATATTTTTTAGGATTATAGAAATTCCCCCTTTTTAAAAAAATAAACATAATATTAAATTAAAAGTTTATATAATTTCATTTTTCTAAATTTAGAATAAATAAATAATACAATTGTGTTCTAACCTATGTTCACGTGATACGGTTCTGAATAACGTCTGTGCTTTTTACATTCCTTGATACCTGTGGGACATCCAGTGATGAGACAGTCTATAGCATTACGAACAACACATTCAGATTCTTCTATAAGTGAATCAGTTGAGTCTCCTTCTGATTTCCTTAAATCCGGCATTGACAAACGCAATTTCCCTGATTCTAAATCATTTTTATAATAAGTATTTTTTTTTATCTAATTTGAGTAAATAATAATCTGACCTTTAAATGATACTCTGTTTTTGATTTTCTTTGGCACTTCATCTTCTGCTTTTAATGTAGCAGTAGATGAGTACTTTACATCTTGTAATGATGCACATGGTTCACATGGAACACTTGCTGATCGTCGGCATTTAGTTGGAGAAGATGGTACTGATGACCACGATGCATTGTGTCGTGCTTCTAATGACATAACTGACGGTCTTACTTGACATCGGTAACATGACGAATGTACGGAAAATACCGAACCAAAATCATATCGTGAAGATGATGAACCAACAGAAAAATAACCAGGACTCCGCGGAAATCTGTACAAAAATAAACAATAATTATTAGTGTAATTTAATATTGAACTCTTATTGTAGGTATTACTTTGATCTCGATGGTTCACGAGTGAGAGGTCCTGGTTGCCGACACAAGTGATCAACACTCCTTGATAACTCTGGCACCATACTTGTAAAATTAATGTCTGACAACATGACCCTTCTTGATTCTGTAGTTTTTTTAGATACACGCAAACATTGTTTGCGTGTATTCTTGTCAACTGGTACAATAAATTTGGATGGTAATGTTGTGTTTGTTGATGTAGTCTTGGCCTGATTGATTAAAAATCCTTCAGAACGCCATTGTAGCGGCAAAGCGGTAATATCTGTCTGTGCTTCAACTTCTTGTGTTTTTAATGTGATATCCTTTAAAATAGGCCGTAATGGACTGAGATATTTAGAATTTGTCATTTCTTTGGAGTTTGCTCCACACTTTGATATATCAGTTTCCAAAACATTATCTATAGATACAAGATCTTCATTAGGTGACACATTCATATTGTCATCTGTTGTAAATATTAACTCGATCTCGTCAGTTTCTTCAGAGTTTTGACACACAATCTAAATATATCAATAAAATGTGATATAACAAAGCATTTATTAAAGCAACAAGATACTTAAATAATAATGAGGCTTATAAGAACAATTGGTTGAACTATGGCTTTTAGCTTTGAGATATAATAAATAATCTATATATATATATATCTATATTTCAATCAAATAAATAAATAAATCTTTCAAAAACGCAATAACCCTAGCAGTTAAGGCGTCTTTATAAATAAAAAATAAAAAATAAATAAATCACCGCCTACAATTGTATAACATATTTTTTTAAATTGTCGTGTCTATTCAATTAACCAACTTGAATATTTTGAGGGGATATAATATATTAATACATTATATAATATAACTCGTATGAAACAAATTGGATTTAATTGAATTTAATTCGATATAATCCACGAAACAGTCGGAATGTCTGCAGCGGGTACCTTTTTATCATCCATGGCGCCACAAGATTTCTTCACCAACTCGAGCTCCGCTTTCGATCGCTCAAGAGCCGTTCTCAGAGCAATTACTGTCTTATGTAATGACCGCACTGTGTCCAAATCAAACAGACTTCCTTCCTCGCCGCCGTTAGTAGCCATTTACACGACTCAGTCATTATTAATTGCGTACCATAATATTACGCGCTCGGGAGTCGGGGACGGTCAAAACAAAAACATAAGCAAACAGTACGCTACGTCTGAAAACTGTGGGCACTGGGCCGCGGCGCACATCCGAAGTGGCGAAGTATTGATTTAATTTTAGTCATACAACGACGTCATGGAGATCGCACAGGTACATAAGTTTTTGTTCCATGACAGCATGTCAAGTCTGTTCAAGTTTAACTACATAAAAAATCACACGATCCCTCCGAACGACCAACTCTCAACCAATTAACCCATTATAACATTAATATGTAATACACATTAGTACATTACAAATTATAATATTATTGTAATATTCCATCTATTTTTTTTTGTTTTTTTTTTTTTTTAAATTAGTAATAGCCCGTCATCGTGTAAGTTAAATAGGCCCCGATTTAGACCTGCTCGTAGGCTGTGAAAAACATTGTGCCCCAGCTATTTTGCTAGCCCTAAGTGAAAATATTTTTATTTAATTAATAATTTTATATTATACAAAATGTTTACACGATTAATTAAATATTTTCATTTTAGGCAGAAACAAATAATAATTATTCAATTTTATTAGGTAAATAATAAAATAATATTTTAAAACTTTTAGGACATATTCAATACATTGGACACTTTTTGGATACCTTAATGAACACAATAAAAACAATAAAAATAAAATAAAATTACACGGAGTTTGCTTTATTTTAAACACGTCGATTGCTTATATAGATTTAAACCCGTACTATATGGTCCGAATGATGTAAACAATTTACAGTACGATTAACTACCTACGTCCTACATGGTATTAGGTGACACACGGTCGTCGGATACAATCTGATAAATTACTTAATTACTATTAATAATTGTTAATAAAATAAACTCTTGTGGGTACCTACCTACCTAGGTCCTAGCAAGAAGTCGCTTAATGCTAATTAAAGGGTTGCGTTGCGGTCGCATCACAGCTTCAGTATTACTACTTTAAACCGTGTAAATGTGTAATACTGTAATATAGGTACATATTGATGATGAATACTGAATAGTGTCTAAAGTAGTTGACTGGGAAACCGGGAAAATTCACGGTGGGCCACTGTTCGTACCTATTTAAAAATACCGCATATTGTGCAATATTCAAAAAAATATATACACCACCTACTGTCTTTTAGATAAAAATAATTTATACAAATTCGTTTTTGAATAACAACAACATAAGAAAATCGATGGATGAGAGGCCATGTACAATGATGTACCTATTTCAGTGCAAAAATCTAATGTGTGGTTTTGCCTATAGTTAATATATTATATTGTACAACCACTGTCAAAACTCACATACCGTCAAAAAGTGATTTCCTAGTACAAAAGATGGGTATCAAGTTTTGTTCGGATTAGGATCTTACAACTCAAGTCAATAATTATGAAGAAAATATGGGCGAATGTAAGTTCCCACACGAGATGTAGGAGGTAAAAATGACACCCGGGTATGCATACGTAAGTTACCACACGAAAAAAAACTACACCGAATACAAACTTACTTCCCACTTTATTCAGACTTAGGACTTACAACTTAAATGTAGTTGATGTGGTTAAAATTTGTTTGTTTTTATGTTGTATAAAAAAAGTACAATCAATTTTTTAATTTAATCTAGTCCGAATGTATAATAAAAATTAATAACATAATGTTTAGGTATGGTCCACATATTATTTGTATATAGGTATAAAATAAGAATAATTATAATAAATATAATATACCTAATAGTGATAGAAAAAATGTTATTTTATTTTCTTATAGCGAAAATTCAAACACTTCTCATAGTCATACTGTGTAATTATTTTTAAGTTATAATCTGTTATTTTGTTATTGATATAGTTTTCCCCTAGTATTTGGGCTAGTGCTAGTTCTGATACAAGTCTATTGCTACAAACGTTTGCGAAAGTACAAATTATATGAAGACCTACACATTATATTACTAATTTTTATTATGTATTTGGACCAACTACGTTTAAGTTGTCAGTCCTAAGTCTGAATACATTTTCGTGTGGGAACTTACTTAAGGATGTATTTTTTTCCGTGAGGGAACTTACATATGTACCCGCTTACCTTCTATGTTTCGTGTGGGAACTTACTAAACCCCGAAAATATGGTATCGGCACATGCACGTATACATGGAGGTTTAATGGTTCAAACCTAAACCGAAATGTTTTCAAACAATATTATTTTTCGACATGCAGCTTTTATATTACATAAATATTATATTATTATTTTACCTATGTAAAATACAATTTTGAATTTTTTTAAATATTATTTTGTATCAACTATTTTACTATATTAACGTTCATATGTTCTACACAATAAGTACCTACATATTTATTTTCAATTCTTGTATGGGTTATAAAACCGTCCATGTCGTATCCGCCGGTGTAATGCGTTATTTTATGATTTATTCCGCAGTCATTCGTCAACTCTAGTGTTTGATGGCTTAAATATTTCTCGGAAAATATTATAATATCCGTGTAGCGTTTATACTGCAGGTCTACTGTTATTATACTCCGAATAATCGACCAACGAGTTTTTTTATTTAAAATATATATTTTAACGATTTTTTGGTCGTTAAATCTGTAACAATTGATTATACACTCGACAAAATGAAAAAAAAAGAAACAATATTTTTTTATTTACATTAGGTATTTATATGAATTTATAATATGAATTATTTTAACTGAAATTGATCCAAATTTAGTTTACTTGGCCTGAAGATTTAGTCTAAAAATGGATAGCCGCAAGTACTAAGTTTATGTAATAAATCATGCAGACCCCATTAAAACAAATAAATTTGTTTCCGTCCAAGTAAACTAAATTTGGATCAATATAATACCAGTATACCACTCAAACAGTCAAACATAACAAAAATATACACGTACAAGATATAATATGGAGTTAAAATAATTCATATTATAAATTAATATAAATAACCAATTTTTATTAAATTTGAATTAATTACTCATATTTACATTTTACACATTAGACTATTTACTTAGATTCCACCTTATATTACACATTTTATAGCATTAATATTTATTTTTTTTTACATAGCATTTTTTTACATGGAGTTGACGGAGTGTTTTTGTTGGGATAGGATAAACAATAAATAACTATGTATAAACAATATACCCACAAATCAGTCAAAATTGATATAAGTGCATTTAACTTAATAAGATAATAGTTATAAAGGAATAAATTCAAAATTGTTCATTTATAATAGTATAATACAAAGTAAAAACTAAAAACAGTGTTCATCACAATTACGGACGTCATAAGACAGAAATTACCAATTATATGATATTTCATGTGCGATTATCAAGGTAAATATTATTCCAACATAATATGATGTAAGGACATTTTTTATAGGTAATTACCTCTTCTATAATATAGTATATAGGTATTATTCTTATAATCTTAAAAATAACTGAGTTATTTGAGAAAAACTGATTTTTATTGCACAAAGCTCGCTCTAGCGGAGGTAGCGGTCATCAAATCTTTGGGGACTTTTAGTATGTTACTTAGTACCCTTCAATAAAAGTGTATACCAAAATTCAGCTATCCTGCTTTTTTTTCCGCTATTTTTTTAATTTGCCAGGACTACGAATCTTTCAACACATGGACTGTTAACCGAGAAAATTTTCCAGACGATGGCGTCGAGCGTGTGTTACCAGCACGATTTAAGATAGTATGGTAGCCCAACGGGGTATGTTAAGACGGCATTGGATTTAAATCCATAGAGTAATACCACAGAATAGATGAAATGGTCGATGGGCAACCATATTATCTTAAATCGTGGTTACTAGCCACCTGGTATGTTTATCGTTCTCGGCGGCCCGCAATATTAAAATTTCGAGGGCGTTAACAATAATAATAACAATTTTATATTATTTGCAAAACTATTTCAAACACATTTTCAATTATAAAATTACTACAAAATAACTTAAATCGTAATTCTTGGTTTTTTAATTTATGTAATTTCCTCCAAATTTGAACATAAAATAACTATAAAAAAAAATATAAATGAAAAAAAAACCGTGACTTTATTTTTAATACCTATTTTTTAAATGTCACTGTAACAATATATTAAGACTTAAGAGCCTTATTGTATTACATTTTCAAGCTTTTTTACTCAACAAATAAAATTATTTTGACATTCATCAGGGGTTTGAAAAAATTTAAAGTAGGTATTCATAAATATTATATTATTCAGATAATTTATTTTTTGTAAATGCTTTTTCGGGGGGTTTAACCCCCCCTGTTTTCGCCCCTGATAGATTCACTTTCCTATCATAAAAGATATTATTGAAATAATCTAAGCATCTTTACTGTCCAAAAATGTGACGTTAAATACAAAAAAAAATACATCATTGTAAAATCAATACATTTATATCGCTCTGCTCAGAATCTAAAAAATTAAGGAAAATCGGAAATTTCGACAAAATCGATTTTCGTTTTTACTGTAACTCTAAAACAAATTACCGTAGATATACATGCAAATTTTACTGGTTGTTTGTATTAGTATTTTCTATACACGATAAGATATTCAAACATTTTTTATTTGTTTCGAATTGTTTAAATTACAATTTCTAATTTTTTTAGTTTTTTTATTTATGAATGTAAATAAAATGTTATTGTTGGGTCGAAAAACTAGAAGATTTAATACAAGACTCCTAATACATTGTTTCAATAGCAATTGAAAAATATTAAAAATACATAGGCACAATTTATTTTTATAAACATTTAAAATTCGATTTTTGACAACATTTTTACATTTATCAAATTGAAAAATGGTTTTGTAGTTTAAAATGTATAAAATGGTCATAGTTGTATAGATAAGGACTGAAGATTTAAAACAAGGTTCCACGTGTAGTTAATTTAATATATAATTATTAAGTATTTAATTATATGTTTAATGTTTATTATCTCAGAAGAT